GCTGAACTCGGCTTTTATAACGAAGCCACTCCCGCAGTGACCCATTAATCCATTCACACAGGCAGAGCCCTCGTGACTCAGTCAACTCCAAGGTCCTACCTCCGAATGCCACAAACATGACTTTGGGAATTACAGATATATATGTAGCGCGCGTGTGTGTGTGTGTATAAAATATATATATTTTAGCCGAAAAAGCCACAATGGCCAGGGCTAGGCCAGGCTGAAGCTAGCAGCCAGGAGCTTCTTCCAGATCACCATGTGTGTGGCAAGGGGCTCAAGCATTTAGACCTTCTTCCACTGCCTTCCCAGGTGCATCAGAGGGAAGCAGGACCGAAACTGAAGCATCCAGGGCAAGACTGTCATTCATATGAGATGCTGGCATTGCAGGTGGTGTCTTAACTGACTGTGCTACACCAGTCCCAGGGAACGCCTCTCTTCCTTTCATTCTTCCTTTCTCTTTTGAAGACTTGCTTATTTTTATTAGAGAGGAAGATATATAGCAGAAAAGGAAAAATAGAACGTTCTCCCGTCTGCTGGTTCACTCCCTAAATGGCTGCAATGGCCAGAGCTGAGCCGATCCAAAGCCAAGTCTCCTCTGTGGATGCAGGTCCCCAAGGACTTCAGCCATCCTCCACGATTTTTCCAGACTATAAGCAAGGAGCTGGACCAGAAGTGGATACCACTGCCACGGATTATTGTACCACCCCAGCAGCCCCTGGGATTACACTACTAACATAAGATCTCCAGGGACGGTCACAGCAGCAACACCCTCGGGAATGGATGGATGCGGTCACTGCTGAGGTAGCTTGGCTTTACAGGTGAGTTCTGTCCCATCTGTGTCCTCTTGCCCCACGCCCTCTCCCACAACGCGATGTCCTTCGGCAGTCGCCAGGCAGTGAGGACGCTCTTACCACATACAGCCTTTTCATCTGGAATTTCCCAGCCTCCAGAGATGGGAGAAGCAAATTCAGCATAAATCATCCAGTCTGTCATTCTGATACAGCACCTGAAAATAGAACAGATCTATTAGAGTACGTTTGTTTTAGTTATTTGAAAGACAGGCTGTGTGTCCGGTATGATAGCCTAGTGGTTAAAGTCCTCATCTTGCACACCCCAGGATTCTGTATGGATGTGGCTTCATATCCTGGCTGCTCCACTTCCATCCCAGCTCCCTGTTTAATGGCCTGGGAAAGGAGTAAAGGATGGCCCAAAGCCTTGGCAACCAGCATTAACATGGGAGACTTAGAAGAAGCTCCTGGCTTCCGGATAGCTCAGCTCCAGTCATCGCGGCCACTTGGGGAGTGAACTAGCAGATAGAGGATGTTTCTCTTTGTCTCTCCTTCTCTCTGTAAATTTGTCTTTCCAATAAAAATAAATATTTTTTTTTTAAAAAAAAAAGGATAAAACATTGCTGACTACCACAGGCCAGTCCACATGAAAGCTAGGGCTGGGAGCCTGTCTAGCAGGACTAGATCCCAGTACTTGACTGAATATTGGAACAGGGGATAGATCGCATTAGGCAAGGCAATGACACTAACCAGCACACGAGAGAAAAAGTCCAGGGATAGATTCTGTAGGGCATTTGTGGGCCAAACCTTGTGGAAACACAAGTCCCACTGGTTAGCTCAAGAGTCAGAATGGTGATGGGCTGAACTGGATGTGACCATGGAACCTACCAATACTCACAGGTACAGGGACCGAGAATATTCTAGGCATTGGGCCACTGGGCCCAAACCATAGTTTTCTTATCTAGTCTTCTGTTGATGGGCATTTCGGTTGCTTCCAAGTTTTTGCAATTATTGACTGTGCTGCTATGAACACAGGGATGCATGTTGCTTTCTCCTGTAACAGGTCTTTTGCATATATTCCTAGCAGTGCTATTGCTGGGTCATATGGTATGCAGATTTTCAGTTGTTTGAGTGTTCGCCATACCGATTTCCATAGAGGTTGTACCAACCTGCAGCCCCACCAGCAGTGGATTAGGGTTCCCTTTTCCCCGCATCCTTGCCATCAAGTGTTGTTGGTGGTTTTTTGTATGTGAACCATTCTTTCTGGCGTTACGTGATACCTCATTGATGTCTTAATTTGGATTTCCCTTATTGCCAGAGAGCTTGAGCATTTTTTCATATGTTTGTTCACCATTTGGATTTGTTCCTTTGCAAAGTGTCTGCCCATTTCCTGTGCCCATTTCTTGAGTGGTGTGTTGTTGTTGTTGTTGTTGTTTTGGTTGTCCTGGAGATCTTTGTGTATTCTGGAGATTAGCCCCTTATCTCATGTGTAGTGTGCAAAGATCTCCCATTCTGCGGGTTACTTTTTTACTTTGTTGATTGTTTCTTTTGCTATGCAGAAGCTTCTTAGTTTGATGTAGTCCCATTTGTTTATTTTGGTCTTGATTGCTATTGCTTTAAAAAAAAAAAAAAAAAAAAAAGAATCCCAGCCAGGCCCATCCCCAGGCTCAGCTCTTGTGCACACCAGCAGGCATTTCAGTTTAGTTGAGAAGACCCCCCAAAACCCTCACCAGGCCTGCTTCAACTTTTATTTACACTGCCTTGCAGATCTACTTCATTCTGAGTAGCAATAGAATATTCCAGGCACAGATGCTTTACAGAGTCATTGGTCCATTCATAGACATGTGAGTTATTCCAAACTGCACTTTGAGGTTGCAGCAAAGCTGTCAAGAATGGCTATTGTATCAAATCAGAGGTTCTGGCTAAATGGTGTTGCCAGCTAAGAGGAGGAACACCGGAAATGTAACGCATCTCAGACAGCCGGCTGTTTCCTTCCTCTTGGTCAGCAGGCTCCTTCCTTCCTCTCAGACGGCGGGCTGTTCCCTTCCTCTGATTCTTTTCTGTCTGCAGTCGTAGAGCCATCCGTCTCAGGAGTCAGCACAGGGACAGCGCTGTGGTCTCCATTCCTGTGTCACCATTTTTTCCCAGTGGTGCTCTTCATAGAGGAATGTTTCAGTCCAGCCTCGATGCTTGGCATGGACCTGTCGGAGCTTTCCAATCCCAAACAGTTCCCCAGTCATTCCTGAAAATTAGAGGCCAGTTCTTTTTTAGCAAAGGCCTCATTCTGTGTTTCACGCTTCCTCGTGAACAGAATGAGGCTATGCACGTTGACAGAGCTCTCACAGAGGAGCTTCTGTGTGCTTTCCAACTGCAGAGCTCCATTACTTGTGCTGTATACCTTGGCCACTTGATTGGGTGCACCTGCCAAGTGTCTCCACAGCAGCTACTCTTATTTTCCTTTGTAATCCTTCAATATTTTGGGGAGAAAGTTGCTTGAGATTATCCAAGTATCCATTCCTTACCCAACCTGCACCCCCTACTTTTACAATCCTTGATAGATCCTGCCTGCGTTATGACTATTATTTTGAATGCAGAAGTTATTTTCCAATCTCATCATTATTCAACATTCATTAGTTGGCAATCTCATGATAAGGAGTTTTCTCCTCTCTTCATTTATTATTCATTTATTTCAGATTGATTCCCATTTTATCGAACATGTTGTAATCTGTAACTTACAATTTCTCTTGATGTTTAAATTATCCCAGATTTGGCAAATGGGAACCCTGTCAAGTTGTTTCTACTTTTTAAACCGTATCTCCATTATTCTTCCAACACTTCCTTAATGTCTAATACACACACAAAATTCCATTCTCAACCTGTACTTTCCCTAAGCAAGCCTTGAAATCAGTCATTTCTCCAAGAAACTTGATTTCTTTTTTTATTTCAAGATGTATTTGCTCGAGCTGGCACTAAGCATAGCAGCTTAAGCCTCTGCCTAAGGTGCTATTATCCCATGTGGACACTGATTTCAGTCCCATCTGATCTACTTCCAATCCAACTCCCTGATGATGTACCTGAGAAAGCAGTGGAGGAAAACCCCAGCATCTAAGCCCCTGGACCATCCTGTACTGCTTTCCCAAGTCATCAGCAGGGAGCTGGACTGAAAGCGGAGCACCCGGGGCACAAACTGATGCCCGTGTGCATGCCGATGCCACACGTGGAGATTTAGCCAATTGAACCATCATGCCAGCCCCCTTTTCACTGGTAAGTGTGATATCCTCTATTAGTTTAAAAAAATCTCTTCTGTTCCAGTTACCTGAGTGTGTTTATCATAAAAACATGCTAGGTTTTGATAAATATGTTTTAGCTTTCTTTCTTTGTGTATACTGAAGTGGTTGTAATTGTTTTTCTTCATGGTAAATTATCTTAATTCATTTTTAAAAATTGAGCCAACTTTGTATTCTGGGATAAACTTTTTGGTCAGGTGCTTTGTTTTCAGTCCAGCTCCCTGCTAATGACTTGGGAAAGCAGTACAGGATGGCCTAAGTCCGTAGGCTTCTCACCCACGTAGGAGATCCAAAGGAGATTCCTGACTCCAAGGTCAGCCCAGCACTGGCTGTTGTAGCCATTGGAGACTGAACCAGTGGATGGAAGACCTCTGTCCCTTTTTCTATATATATATATATATCTGCTTTTCAAATAAAAATAAACATGTTTTATTCTCCATTAGCATCAAAAAGATGAAATTTTTAGGACTAATCCTAATAAAATATATAAAGATCTTATACTGAAAACTACAAAGTAATGCTGTGAAAAGTTAAAGACTGAAATGGAGAAATAATCCATGAATCAGAATATTCAATGTCATCAAAATGTCAACTTTCCCTAAATTAATCTGAAGATTCAAAGCGATGCCCATCAAAATCCCAACTGGTTGTCTTGTCGAGAAATTTAAGTTCATTCTAAAATGTGTATGAAAATATAAAAGACCCAGTACCACCAAGGCTATTTTGAAAAGGGACACAGTTGGAGGACTCACATTATACACATCTCTTGTGATTGTGACATAGTAGGAGCAGGCGTGGTGGCACAGTGGGTTCAGCTGCCTTTGGGATGTCTACACCTCATACCTGAGTGCTTGGCTCAAGAACCAGCGCTTTTGGTTTTCGGCTCGGAGCAGGCGGCGGTGCAACTTTCTTCACTCGTCCCGAATCCGGGTTCATCTGACACCGGGTGCGTCCACCATGCCACCCAAGTTCGACCCCAACGAGATTAAAGTTGTGTACCTGCAGTGCACAGGCGGCGAGGTGGGTACCACATCCGCCCTGGCCCCCAAGACCGGCCCCCTGGGTCTGTCTCCGAAGAAGGTGGGAGATGACATTGCCAAGGCCACCGGGGACTGGAAGGGCCTGCGGATCACGGTGAAGCTGACCATCCAGAACTGACGAGCGCAGATCAAGGTGGTGCCGTCGGCCTCTGCCCTGATCATCAAGGCCCTCAAGGAGCTGCCCAGGGACCACAAGAAGCAGAAGAACATCAAACACAGAGGGAACAGCACATTTGATGAAACTGTCAGCATCACTAGGCAGATGCGCCACCGATCCTTAGCCAGAGAACTTTCTGGAACCATCAAAGAGATTCTGGGGACTGCCCAGTCAGCGGGCTGCAATGTGGATGGCCACCACCCACACAACATCATAGATGACATCAACACTGGTGCAGTGGAATGCCCAGCTAGCCAAGAGAAATTTTTTCAAAAAAGGATCATCTGGCAACCAAAAAAAAAAAAAAAAGAAGAAGAAGAAGAAGAACCAGCTACTCTGCTTTTGATGCAGCTTCCTGCCAGTGCACCTGGGAGACTGGGAGACAATGGAGGATGGCCCCAGTGCTGGGATCTCCACCACCCTCCAGAGGAGGTCCTAGCTCCTGGCTCCAGCCTGATCTAGCTCCAGGATAGCTGAAGACATTTGAGGAAAGAACCATCAGATGGAAGATCTCTCTGCCTTTCAAATATACAAATAAATATATCTTTAAAAAATAACAGATAATACAATGTGGTTTTGACATACAGGTAGATATAGACACTGGAATAGCAAGTTAAATCCATACATGTAGGGCCTGGCATGGTAGCCTAGATGCTAAAGTACTCACCTTGCACACGCTGGGATCCCATATATACTCCAGTTCTAATCCTGGTGGCCCTGCTTCCCATCCAGCTCCCTGCTACTGACCTGGGAAAGCAGTAGAGGATGGCCCAAAGCCTTGGGACCTTGCACCCATGTGAGAGACCCAGAAGAAGCTCCTGAATCCTGGCTTTGGATCGGCTCAGCTCTGGCCATTATGGCCACTTAGGGAGTGAATCAATGGATGGAAGATTGTCCTCTCTGTCTCTCCTTCTCTCTGTATATGACTTCCCAATAAAAAAAAAAGAAAAAAAAATCTTTAAGAAAATACTGGAGAAGAACTTTAAATATCTTGGAATAAACCTAACCAAAGATGTGGAGGAAGGCCTCTATGATGAAAATTTTTAAGAAATCTATAAATGTAGTATTGATTATAGACAAAGTTACTGGGTAAATAATTCAATGAAGAAAGAATATTCTTTTCTTAAGATTTTTTTTTTTTGTGTGTGTGTGTGGGGTCAGAATTCTGGCACAGTGGACTAAGCCACTGCCTGCAACACAAGCATTCCATATCAGCTTCTGTTCAATCCCCAGCAGCTCCACTTCTAGTCCAGTTCTTGCTAATATGCCTGGGAAAGCAGCAGAAGAAAACCCTGGCCCATTCCACTCACTCACTCACTCACTCGTTCTCTCTAACTCCACCCTTTAATACATTCAAAAATTAAACCTAATTTTATATACTTGATCTGCTGCTTCTTTCTCAGGCACAATAGGAGGGAACTGGATCACAAATTGAGAAGCCAGTATTCATGCCAGAACTCAGCTAGGATGCCGGCATTTGCAGCTGGTGGCTTAACATGAAGTATCACAATGCTGGCCCCAGAAAAGATCATTTTTTCAACAAATTGTAGTTTTAGAGCAATTATATCAGTAAAAAAAAAAATTGAACTTTGACTCTTACCTTATACTATGCATGTAAAAATTAACTCAGTAGACAAATCAGAGAGAAAATAGGTTAGTGATTGCTTGGAACTGACAGGTGGGGAGAAAAACGTGAAGGTGCTAGGAATGAGTAGGAAGCTCCCTGCGGGGTTTGCAAAAATGGTCATGTTAGATCAGGCTGAACACCGCATGGCTCTGTGAATATACCAAAAACCGTTGGATTGCATGCCTTAAAAAGCTTCTTTATTTGGGGTGAGCACTGTGGTATAGTGGATTAAGCCACCATTTGGGAAACCTTCATCCCATGTCAGGTGCCAGTTTGAGTCTCAGCACTTCTGATCCCGGTTGCTGCTGCTGCATCCTGAAAGGCAGATGATGGCTCAAGTGTTTGTGCCCCTCCCAGCAACGTGATAAATCCAGAGTTCTGAGCTAGTGACTCCAGCCTGGCCCAGCCTGGTCCAGCCCTGGCTGTTTCAGGCATTTGGAAAGTAAATCAGCATATGGAAGATCTCTCTCTCTCTCTCTCTCTCTCTTTCTCTCTCTCTCTCTTTCCAGTAAGATGAACACAAACATTAAAGAAAATTGAAAAATGGGAATTCACTCCTCAAATGCCTCAAATGGCCACAACGGAACCACCAAAGCCTGGAGCTAGGAACTCAGTCCGGGTCTTGTGGCAACTCTAGAGGCCTGGGTCTGCCTTAGCAGGAAGCCGCAGTCAGAAGCTACTCCACATAGCTCACGCCTTAGTTTCCAGGCTACCTGCCTACCTCGAATCATATGCTTTAAATGGATTCAATGTGTTAAGTGGATTATCTGTATTATCTCTCCATAAAGCTGTTAAAAATTAACTCAAAATGAATCACAGACCTACACGGAATAGCTAACACTATTAAATCCTAACAGAAAAGGCAGTAAAGATTGTGTCACCTCAGATTCAGTAAGACTAATTAAACAGGATGCAAAAAGGTCAAACCACTCGAGAAAAAAGTTACGCTTCAGCAAATTTTAAAGCTTTTGCTATTTAAAAAACACTGTTCAGAAAATGAAGACAGGGCCCCGTGCAGTAGGACGGCCCAATGCCTTAGGATCCTGCAGCTGCTTGAGAGACCTGGGGAAGCTCCTGGCTCCTGGCTTCAGATCGGCTCAGCTCCGGCCGTTGTGGCTACTTGGGGAGTGAACCAGCAGATGGAAGAACTTTCTTTCTCTCTGTCCTTCTCTCTGTAAATCTGCCTTTCAAATGAAAATAAAAATCAGCAATGAAAAGGAATAAAATATACAAGAACAAGAAGTACGATTCTAGAAAGCATTTTGCCAAGCAAAAAACAGCAGATCCACAAGACGTCACGCTTTTGAATGGTTCCATGTATGTGACATTCTAAGGAATAAACAAGAACAATAACAACAACAACAACAAAAACAACATACTGGTGGTCACTTGGGCTGGAGCAGGGGCAGGAGAGTGAGGCAAATCGGGCAGAAGAGAATTCTGGGGGTTGACAAAAATGTGGTATGAGGCATTGCCGCATGAAAATTACAGGACAAGTTTATTGTAATGCAGAGGTACTTGAAATTCATAAATACAAAGGGCTTCAGAAAGCTCAAAAGAAATGTGCATTATGAAAGCAATGCATGGGCTTCAAATACTTTTTACCAAAAAAAAAAAAATATATCTTTTTTATTATAGTCTCATTTATCTCAGTTGTTGCCCATGGTTACATATCTATCCATTTGTCAAAACTCAAGTAACCCAATGAAGCTTCTTCCAAAAGTTCTTGAGACAAAAGGCAGCGGTGATGTTATACAGTGGGTTAAGCTGCCACCTGTGATGCTGGCATCTCATAGGACTACTGGTTCAAGTCCCAGTTGTTCCACTTTCGATCCAATTCCCTGCTAATGTGCTTAGGAAAACAGCAGAAAATGGTCCAAGGACTTGGGCCCTTGTCACCTCATGGGAGACCAGGACGGAGGTTCAGGCTCTCGTCTTCATACTGGCACAGTCGTCTTTGGGAAGTGAGCCAGCAAATGGAAGATCTCTCTCTCTCTCTCTCTCTTTCTCCTTCTCTGGAACTCTGCCTTTTAAATAAATAAATAAACAAATCTCTCTTTTAAAAAAGTTTATAGAAAATACATGATACAAAAAAAACCTACCCATTGGTTTCAAAATGTTTTGATACTTGTCTTTTCCATTTTTTTGAGGTCTTTTCCCCCTATTTTATTTCAAAGGCAAAGAAAGATATCTAATAACCTCTAGTGCATTCCTCAAATGCCTGCCACAGCTAAGATTTGGCCAGGTAAGGCTAAGAGTTCAGAACTCAGTAGTCAGGTGTCTAGTTTTGTGGCAGGGACCCAAGCTCGTGAGACTTCACCTCCTGCCTCCCCTTAGCAGGAAGCTGATCGGGAAGCCGAAGATCCAGGACCTGAACCCGGTGCTCCTATGGGCTGTGAGTGTCACACGTGAGGGCTTCGTTATTGCACCAAGCATCTGTCCTTCCATGACCCTATTTCTCCTTTTTAAAAAAGTATATGTATTTGAAAGACTTACAGAGACAGAGGGAGATAGTCTGGGGATCTTCTGTCCACTGGCCCACGTCCTAGATGGCTACAACAGCAGGGGGCTGGATTGAAATTGAAGCAGCTGGGACTCAGTGACCGTATTGGATATCTGTGTTTTTAGGCAGTGGCTTGACCTGCTATGCCGTAATCCCGGCTCCTCTACGGACTTTTTTAAAGTGCCTCTGTAACACTTCTAATAGGGTGATTTTACTGTATGTGAATGTTGTTTCAATAAACTGATTTTAAAAAATAACTTTAAAGAATACCAAAAAGGATCTAGTACAGTAGCCTCGCGGCTTAAGTCCTCATCTTGCACACTCCAGGATGCTATATGGGTGCCGGTTCATATCCTGACGGTCCCAGTTCCAACCAGCTCCCTGCTTGTGGCCTGGGAAAGCAATGGGTCCCTGCCCCTGTGTGAGAGACCCAGAAGAAGCTCCTGGCTTTGCATTGGTGCAGCTCCAGCCGTTGTGGCCGCCTGGGGAATGAATCAACAGATGGAAGATCTTCTCTCTGTCTCCCCTCTTTGTGTATCTGACTTTCCAATAGAAATAAAAAATAAATAAACCTAAAAAAATACCAAAAAGACATTAGGCAAAAGAAAAGTAATTATTTTTCTACATGAAAAGGTCAAGGGCCCGGCACAATGGTTCAATTGGCTAATCTTAGGCCTACAAACGCCAGCAGCCCATATGGGTTTCAGGTCATGTCCCAGCTGATCTAATTTCCATTCAGTTTCCTGTTTGTGTCCTGGGAAAGCAGTGGAGGATGCCCCAAGTCCTTAGGACCCTGCAGCCATGTGGGGAAACCAGAGGGGACTCCTGGTTCCTGGTTTCGAATTGGCTCAGCTCTGGTTGTTGCAGCCGTTTGGGGGAGCGAGGCAGCAACATTCCTCTCCGTCTTTCCTTCCTTCTGGAAATACGTCTTTCCAATAAAAATGAACCTTTTAAAAGAGAGTTCAAATACTACAAAAATAGACATGAGAAACAAAAATGAACATGCTCTCTGTGCCTTCTTTATCTGCTGTTCTATTAACAGTTTGTAAGTGTTCTTCCAGATGTTTTTCCACACACACACATTCCTTTACATCTGTTTAAGTACGTCAGGAGTCAGTAGAGTTCCTAGTGTTTGGGGACCTGCTCCATCTGTGGGCATTTTCATGATGTGCGTCCTTCTCTGGTTGATCAGTAGAAAAGAATC